ATTCATTTTCCCATATATAAATATGCACAGTATGATAGTATTAATTTACCATAATTATAAAATGTGTAGTTAATGTAATGTCCATGAGTGAATGTAGAAGTGCCATATATGTATTTCTCATGTAATAGAAACCCAAGCTGAGAAGTTAGTCTCATTAGTTTTCCTCCCTACTTGTCATCTTTGTCATTCTTGTCTGTGTTTTTTATTCATTCTGGGGTTTTTGAGACAGATTTACCAAAGCTGCATATTTTCACATCAAATTATCAGATAAAAGTCCTTTTGTATCCAGTGTGTAAGCATTTGTCATAGATAAGGACTAAGGGAGGGCAGTATCATTTACCACACAGTTCTGATGTGCACATAGAACAGCAGTGGGCTCACAAGAACGCATGGGTGATTCTTGTATGTCTTACTGGTTCCTATTTTCTTTCATTTGTACTTTCTGTCTTGAAAATTCACAGTGATAGAGTACCTTTTGTCTGCCCTTGTATACTTAAATCTAGCTGTTACGTAACTGTCCAGTTTCTGCAGCAAGAGGAGAAGTGAAAACTGGAACAAAGTCGAGGGCAAAGGTTTGATTTAAAAAAAAAAAAAAAGGTAAAAAGGTATGTAAATCTGTTTTGTAGTTGGACCTGAAAATTTTTGCTCTTATTAAAGAAAAAAAGAGCATCACTAGCAGTGATGAAGAAGTCATCATCCCTCACTACTAGGCACTTGTCAGACCACACCTAGAGTATTGCATTCAGTTCTGGTCCCCGCTCTACAAAAAGGATGGGACAGGCTGGAGAGGGTTGAGGGAAGGGCCTTAAGGATCATCAGGGGACTGAAGGACCTGCCATATGAGGAGAAGCTGAAAAAAACTGGGTTTGTTCAACCTTGAGAAAAGCAGGCTTAGGGGGACTTCATTACCATATTGCAGTACTTAAAGGGTGGCTACAGAGAAGATGAAGATTCCCTATTGACAAGGAGCCACATGGAAAAGACAAGGGGTAATGGACAGAAGTTGCTCCTGGGGAGATACCAATTGGACACAAGAGGTAAATTTTTCACCATGAGGACAGTCAAACATTGGAATAGTCTCCCAAGGGAAGTGGTAGATTCTCCCACATTGGACAGTTTTGAGTCTCAGCTTGACAGGGTGCTGAGCAATCTCGTATAAGCTATGGTATTACCTAGAAAGGTTGGACCAGATGATCCTTGAGGTCCCTTCCAGCCTGGCATTCTATGATTCTGTGATTCTATGAAAACCTTAGGAATTCTTCTTAAAGTTTGATTCTCAAGTTTGGTTATTATAAATTGCAGATCTGCAAGTCTGCTAGGCAAAAGATTGACATTATTCATACTGGTAGAAAATCCAAAGGTGTTTGTCCCATACCGCATTTATGTGTGTTCAGCTGTGTGCTTCTAATGGATAATGATTTTCTGGCTTTGTGCAAACATGATTTATAACTGTTGTGGTAGTAACCAAGAAAGGGGAGTCATTTCTAGGCTCAGAGTACTCACAAAGAGTTTTCTAATTGGTGTGTTCATATCTATGGTAATTTTCTAGTCAGGATGAACTTTCAATGCAAATCTTTCAATGCAGTGTAATTTGTGGTATTTCAGTTACTATGGGAAAAGCATTTCACTTGTATTATTCAGTGATTAATTGTTGCATTTTTCATTTAACTGACTGTCACTTATAAAAAGTCGTATGTCTTCTCAAAGTTATCTGTTCATAGAACATGAACATTTTTACAAGAAAAGTAATTTCCTTGCAGTGTTGCATTTTTTCCCCCATAGTTCTTCCGTCTTTATTTTGGCACTTTCGTCTATGTTCACCAGTTTCCTTACATTGTTTTTCTGTCAGGGCCTGCAATTGCTCAGTTAAATTTGTGTGAGGTTTGTCTATAGCTATTTTGAATCCATGAAGAGATCCTGTCTCTCCTGCAAGCTAATGCATCTTTATGACTTTCTCACAAAGCCATGCTGTTACATGAAATAGTTGCACTGAAACTCACTTCTGTGTTTCTAGTTTGCTCTTGTGAATTGTGATCTGGTAAATAGTGAGCAGGCAAACTTGGAATTTATGCTGTCTAAATATAGACATTTAATAATATGAAGTTCATAAGCACAGTATATGTTATTTCACTAACTTGCATTTGTGCTTTATATGTTACTTTGTAAATAATTTTAATATTTAGATTTGCATTAAACGAAAATGTTAGCAAATTTTCCAGTTATCTATCACAAATTGCTTTACGCTTCTGGAATATATGTGCCACAGTGAGTAGATTAGAAATGCTGTTTACAGGGTTTTGTTTTCAAACAGTAATTTTCAATTTCATGCATAACTCCTTGAAGACATTCAAAACCCGCCTGGACACATTCTGTTGTGATGTGCTCTAGGTGATCCTGCTCTGACAGGGGGGTTGGACTAGATGATCTTTCAAGGTCCCTTCCAACACCTAGGATTCTGTGATTCTGTTGTCCAGCTTTGTAAATTTTAGGTGGCTGCTAAGCTGGACCCAAGGGCTGTCGAGGCTAGGAGGCAAAATTAAAGCCTCAATGCCAGTACAAAATGTTGGGTGTGTAAAGGTAGCCGATTTGTGGTTTTGGAAGACACCATTGTGCACAGAAAGCTGTGGCTCTCTCTTCTCATGTCTTCTGTGAAAGTGACTGGCAAATATATTCCTTAGGGTAAAGCTTTAGCCAAAATGATGCAAACAGTAATTAAAACATTGCTAAGATTAAAAAGAAGGCTGAATAAATGCTGCCTACATTTTGGTGTTCTGAAGCCATTTTGTAATTCCTTAAACAGTGAGGAAACACAAAACAAAATAGATAAATGCTTTGAAAAGAAGGTCCATGGAGGGATTTCTATTTCCTTTCTTCCCCGTATTCCAGCTGTTCTCTTTTAGAAAATAGTAAGTTTATGGCCTTCAGAAGGAGGGATGTTTTTCTGAAGTTGAACATACGAGTAAAACCAAAATGGGACTGCACAAGCCAAGCTATGATTCACAAGAAAGTTACCTGTCAAGGAAGTGCTTATAGCTGAGACAGGAGCCCCTGAGACTTCTACAAATTGCTTGGCAAACCTGGTAGCCAACAGAGGTGCTAAACTGTCAGTGGTGTGGAAGCTCTTAGGTGACTGAGGTGTAAATGGGTGTTATGAGGTGCTCATAATTGCTGGAGATTTAATAGCAAGTTAATTAAAAACTGTTGCAAAACCTTAACTAGAGTTTCATGGTCACTAGTAACTTAATTAGTTTCATATTCTCCCATCTAGGTGTCCCTGAATCTCCCTTCAATGTGGTCTCTTTCCTGTATGATCCAAAACATTTTGTTCCTTGCAGAACTATTTCTTTCATGCAGTATGTAGACTGTAAGATCATAAATAATACTTCCTTCTCATATAATTAGGATGATAGGTCTCAACTAAAGAAAAAAGCCTACATTGATTTTTCTTTGGATGCGATTCTTTTTAGAACTCTGAACTTAGAACATATTCCTAAGGGTGCCTTGGAGATTTTTCACGTGTAGAGGAAAATTGTTTAATAGCCAATAGCTGTTCTCCCAAAATAGTCTAAATAGATAGGTGGAAAAAAACCCAATCAATTCACCCAAATAAGGTCATCTGCTTGCAGTGATTAGGACACAGAAATAGTTCTTTTCAAAGTGGGAGAATGTAGCACAAGTTATTTTGATGGATTACAACAATCTGAACTAATTTTGGTAGCGTAAACACTGGTGTGAAATGACTGCAATCCCATCCATACTGCATTCAAACAAAGGTAGACACATTTCAGACTGGATTAAATAAAATGCTCTCTGTTTCTAATGTGGTTTGGCTAGCCAGTGAAAACCATAGCATTTTGATCTGTTTGAAAGGCAGGTTCTAGTGGACAATAGAAAGTGTTTATCCAGCATGGTTTTTGTATGTTTGCTCTGATCAGTGCTAGCTGGGTATGTTGTGATAGAAACCCCTTTTTTCTGCATTAAGCCATAAACACTGTTTACAAATTTATTTCAAATAACTTTTTATTTGGCCTAAGTCTTGAGTCTTGATGTAATCACCTATCCTGAACATTGTCCCTCCATGTCCTGGAAATAATTACTTCCAGCATTTTATAAGCAAAACAGAAAACAAAGAACTCCTAAATAGGCCAGGCACCTTTTCTGTATTGCTTTTCTGCTGATCTTGTCTTCATTTAATGGACCATGTTTTCTTGAGTACTTCAAACTATTTCTCGTCGCTTGCCCTCAGAACTGGCCTGGTGACCTCAGAATGAAGAAGGTGTCATGTTAGCAACTATTAATTAGTGGATCCAGAGAGCTTCTTCCCCTGGCCTTTCAACCTTCCAGAGGCTGCAAAAAAAGCTGTCACATGTATCATACAAAGAAAACAAGCATTTACCATGTTTGGGGTTTTTTGGTTGTTTTGTTTTGGTTTTTTTTCCTAGGATGTAGATAGTAGCAAAAGCTCAGCTGAGACTACGGATGGATTTGTAGGTTAGGAGGAAATTAACCTATGGTACAGTGTTTGCATTTCTTTCTTCCTTTCCATGCATAACATACTGTATGTGTTACCTTTCATACTGAACATGTGTGAGCACATTAGTATGCCATAAGAGGGAAAAACGAAAAATCTTACTTTTCTCTTTTTTTTTGGTTCTTACCATCCATTGTCTTAATTTTTTCTCCTCTCCCCCCTCCTGCCCTTCAAAATAGATTTAAGTATTTCTGTAAAGGAGTATGTTAATGTTTAGGTTTTAATACACAGTATACAGTACAAACTTTACTTGTCTTTTGTATGTTTGTTGAGAGCAAACTTGTGAACAGAAGATTCAGTGATGCCTTCCATTAATCACTTTTGTACTTCTGCACCTTGTGAGTCATCAAGAGTTTTCAGGACCACCAGCTGAAATGATGGTGGTAAAATGTGCACTCACAGCCCCATCACAGAACTATTTGTACAAGTATACTAATCTCTTTTTATTATTTATAATTTTCAGGTCTTCAAAATAGAGGTGCTAATGAGTGGAAGGAAACATTTTGTGGAGAAGAGGTATAGTGAATTCCATGCACTTCATAAAAAGGTACTGATCTCTTTCTTTATAAGATACAACTTTGTTTTGCCTTAGTTGTGATGTTTTCCTCTCTCTTGAAGTTGTTACTGTACCTGCTTTGTCTTAAATACATCTTGTGGTGCTGGTATCTGGAAATGAGTACCCATTTAACTCAGTTTCTTTTCTATTTTGTGGAAAGGCGTGATGACTTCTCCGATATCACTCTCTCCTTTTTTATTATTGTTTACATGCTGTATTGCTAAAATGCTGTCTGTAGTATGTTTTCTTTCTTGTTTGAAGATTGCAAAATAAGACATATTCCTATAGCAAGTAAATACGTATTTTTGTGTTATCCAATTAGGCAAATAATTTATTAGCTCAGTAAATTCTGTTGCTAACCTGCTGGATGTGAAGCTGAGGAAACAAGCAGTATATACCAGGAAACTATTAATGAAAAAGACTGAGTAAACTGTCTCACATTGCTGCTCTTTGTACAATGAATGTGATATGAAATATCTGCTGAGCTTGTCTTCTGAATCATCTTAATAATATATAGAAGGCAACTCATCAAGACTGGTTATCCACTTGTACTTCAAATTGTTTTGGACAGTGTTAAACGAAAGTACAATTTTTCCTCTTCAGGCTGAACTGTATTCTGCTATACAGTTGTGCATCTGAAAAGCAAGTTTTATATTTTTTCTGCCTTATGGAGGTCCACTATTATGAAGGAGAATGCTGGGAAAGCATTGCAGCCCACTGCCAGCAGTGGGGCTGCAATGAAGAGCTTCAGTCCTTTGTTCCTAGGATTTGGGTCAACTGCAGTTTTGTGGCAGTGGCAGTGGAGTATCTGAATGTTCAACTATTTTCACTGTTGCTGCTTGCCTTCAGTATGGAAAAACTTACTCTGCAAGAAGCAGAGAGAAGCATGGGCATTTACAGCTTCTGCCACTGCAGTGTCAGAGGAGCTTAGCCACACCAGCATGCTTGCTGGTGTCCCTGAATCTGCTCAGGTGTCATCTTCAAAGACTTCCTTCACCCCTTGACCAAAATTTCAGTAATGTTGTTAATGGCATTGTCCAAATGCCTCTTAAACAGTGACAGGCTGGGAGCATCGACCACCTCTCTAGAAAACCAGTTCAAGTGTTTCACCACTCCCTTGGTAAATAAATGCTTCCTAATGTCCAGTCTAAACCTCCCCTGGTGCAGCTTTGAACCATTCACACACATCCTGTCATGGGATGCTAGGGAGCAAAAATCAGCACCTCCCTCTCCACTTCCCCTCCTCAGGAAACTGTAGAGAACAATGAGGTCACCCCCCAGCCTCTTTTTCTTCTGTCTACACAAAACCAAAGTCCTCAGCCACTCCTCATAGGACAAGCCTTCCAGCTCTTTCACCAACCCTTTGAGCTCCTCCCTTCAGCCAGTTCTTCACCCAGTGTACCATGAACCTGCTCATCCCACAGTAGACAACTTGTCCAGAAGGATGCTGTGAGGAACAGTCCCAAAAGCCTCACTAAAATGCAGAAAAAATACATCCACCACCATCCCTTCATCCACTAGGCAGGTGACCTTATCATAGAAGGGTATCAAATTAGTTACACAGGACTTTCCCTTAGTGAACCAATCTTTACTGTGCCTGATCATTGTATTATTCTTTAAACGCCTTTTGATATTACCTAGTATTATCTTCTCCATAGTTTTCCAGGAAATGAGGTTAGACCAACAGGTCTGTAGTTCCATAGGTCTTTCCTCACACCCTTCTTGTAAATTGAAATAACACTGACTAGCTGCCGGTCTGTGGCACCTCCAGGCTGCCAAGACATTTGGTAGGTGATCAAGAGGAGTCTTGCCATAACATCCACTAGCTCCTTCAGTAACTTGGAATAAATCCCACCAGGCCCAATGGTGAATATTGAAGTCACACAGCTTATGCCTTACAATTTCAGTGTCCACAAATGCAGTCACTGTTCCAACACTCATGATCCTCCAGCTTGGGGGACCAGACAGCCCAAGGTCTGTCAGTATTATTCAAGACTGAGGCAAAAAAGGCATGGAGAGCATCTGCTTTTTCTTCTTCCCTTTGTTATCTAATTTCACTGTAACTTCTGCAGTTGCACAGTTACTTCACACAAAAGTAATGAATGACTGCCATCTCAGATTTGTCTGATTGCACACTGCTTTTTCTGCAGGAACTGTCTTTGCAGAGATTTCTCCTTAGAACACTAGAAAAACTACTGATTGTGGTCCCTTTCTCTCCAGAAATAGCAACAAAATAAACAAACCTGAAAAACAGATATTCTAACAAAATACTTTCCACTGCTTTTCATTCTTTCATCTTATCTGTTTGCTGTCTGTTTATATTACTCTGCAAACTTGATAGTGACTTTCTCTTTTTGTGCCTTGTACATGTGCAAAGCACCTAGTATATTTTGGCAACAATATACCTCTTCTCATAAGTCTTACTGTTTGAGGTTGTAGTAAAATTTCAGCAAACATGGTTGAACAGATTGTGCTCTGAACCTTTTTTTGTGCTTTCAGTGGTACAGAAATCCTGGAGAATATGTTCTCTGGTAGTGCAGTATGTGATTTCATCCTTTCTTTTGCTGTTTTCTGTTTTAGCAGAAAATCTCAACACTCTGAAATGAAAGGTGTGTATTTGAACAGTTTTTTTACAGAAGAAGGATATTTTGCACTTGTACCTTGATTGTTCTTTGTGATATTTTTTTCACATCTTACAACAATACTTAAATGCAGTTCCAGACACAAGTTTGTTCTTAGCATGCCAGTGGGGTATTTATTTTTTGTTCATCTTTTCTTCTTACATTTTAAATTAAAGTTTCAGTCTTAATTTGCTGAGAGCACATGGCAATTGGAAGGATATCTTTAGAACTACTTGCATATTCAAGGTGCCCTTAGTTCTGGAGATGTCTGTAGTGAGCAGGAGAAACAAACCTGGCATGCTCCACTGGCATTGTATCGAGGAAGGAGGACTGCATTCTCATAACAGACATTATTCATTCATTAGAATACCAAAGAATGTGTTGGGGTTTTTTTTAGGTTTGGTTTTTTTTTAACAACATCATTTCTGAGAACATGACTGGATTTGTCTCCTTGGGTTCAACCTATCTTGTATTCCAGTTATGTCAAAAAGTGAAACCCCACTTCCTGTGCAATCTGGCTGTGGTGGAAAAGGTTTAAAATCTTTTCAAGACTGCAGTGCTACACCAGAAGTACAAATTATTCATTATTCCCTTGACAGAAAACATTCACTGCTGTTGGCTTTTCTGAAATAGTTTGGAAAGGCCATTATACTTGGACCTGGCTAAGAATAACAAATCAGTCCTTCTAGGCTGTGCACCATTCCCATTAAAGTATTGTATTTGAGTCTGAACAAAATATTTATTATTTTCATATCAAGAGATTTTTAGAAAACTTTTTGTGTGCAACATAGTTAAAAAATACAATTTAATTCCTAATTCCTTTTTTATAGATTTTCTTTACATTTTTAAATATTGGTAGTTCTTTTTAAGCACTAGAATGCTAGATGGTCATAGTGTTAACATTTCTGCAGTGAAACCTGCAAAAGTCTTGGAAGTTCTCTACATCTTATTGTGCAAGTAATTTATAATTTCAGAATAAATATATATCATACTGAATTTTCACACATGAACAAATAATTCTTTACTTAATAATCTGAACCATATTTTGGTCTTGCAGGAAATAGAGACTACAGCATGTCAGGTAGGCAATTACAGAATCATGGAATGATTTGGGTTGGAAGGAACCTTAAATAACACATGGTCCCAAACATCTGCCACTACACCAGGTTGCCCAAAGCCTCATCCAGCTTGGCCTTGAACACTTCACGGGAGGGGGCATCCACAGCTCCTCGGGGCAACCTGTAGCCCCTTCAGGTACTGGAAGGCTTCTATAAAGTCTTCCTGAAGCCATCTCTTCTCCTGGTTGAACAACCCCAGCTCTCTCAGGCTGTCTTCATATGAGAGGTGCTCCAGCCCTCTGATTGTTTTTGTGTTGAGAGCTCCAGAGCTGGACACAGTACTCCAGAGTGGAATAGAGGGTCAGAATCGCCTCTCCCAACCTGGTGGTCATGCTTCTTTCCGTGCAGCCCAGGACACGGTTTTCTTTCTAGGCTGCAAGTGCATGTTGCCAGCTCATGTTTAGCTTTTCATGAACCAATACTCCCAAGTCCTTCTCCTCCAGGTGGTTCTCAATCCATTCACCACCCAGCCTGTACCTGTGCTTGGGATTGCCCCGATCCATGTGCAGGACACTTGGCTGTGTTGAACTTCATGTGGTTTGCATGGGCCCACCTCTCAAGCCTGTCAAGGTCCCTCTGGATGGCTTCTCTTCCCTCCACCCTGTCAACCACACCACACAGCTTGGTGTCGTCAGCACAACTTACCTTTAATGAAGCCATGTTTGCTGTCACCAAGCACCTCCATATTTTTCCTGTGCTTTAGCAGAGTCATCAGGAGGATCTGTTCTGTGATCTTGCCAGACACAGACGTGAAACTGACTGGCCTGTAGCTCCCCGGGTCTTCCTTTTTTCCTTTTCTGAAAATGGGGGTTATGTTTCCCCTTTCTCAGGAAGTGGGAATTTCACCAGACTGTAAAAATTTCTCAAATATGGTGGACAATGTCTTTGCAACTTCACCCACCAGTTTCCTCAGGACCCATGGATGGATCTCACCAGGTCCCATTGAGTTGTGCACATTCAGGTTCCTTACTTGATCTTGAACATGATCTTCCTCTAGCATGGGTGGATCTTCCTTCTCCAGTCTGTGCCTTTGCCTTCTGTGACTTGGATGGTGTGGCCAGAGAGCACTTGCCGGTGAAGAGTGAGGCAAGAAAGTCATTGAATACTTCAGCATTCTCCATATCCCAGGTAACCAGGTCTTCCGTTTCCTTCTGGAGAGGATCCACATTTTCCCTAGTCTTCCTTCTGTCATGGACATACCTGTAGAAGCTTTCTTGTTGTTCTCGATGTCCCTGGCCAGATTAAATTCTATCAGGGCTTTAGCTCTTCTAACCTCATCCCTGCCTGCTCAGACGATTTCTCTGTATTCTTCCCAGGCTACCTGTCCTTGTTTCCACCCTCTGTAGGCTTCCCTTTTGGGTCTGAGTTTGTCCAGGAGCTCCTTGTTCATCCATGCAGGCTTGCTGGCATTTTTGCCTGCTTTCCTCTTTGTTGGGATGCATTGCTCCTGAGGTAGGAGGAGGTCATCTTTGAATACTAACCAGCTTTCTTGGACTCCTCTTCCCTCCAGGGCTTCACATTTGCCACCAGCCCCTCCTTGTTGGTGAGAACAAGGTCCAGCATATTCTCTCTCCTCAGTGGCTCCTCTCTCACTTGGACAACCAAGTGAGGTCCAAGAGGACCAAGGCTTGTGAACATGAGTCTACTCCTGTCTGTCTATAAAAGGCCTCATTTGCTTGGTCTTCCTGGTTGAGTGGCCTGTAGCAGACCCCCACTGTGGGGGGGATCTATTCCTGCCTTCCCTTTAACCCTGACCCTTAAGCTCTTGGTCAGCTCCTCATGCATCCCCAGGCGGAGCTCTAAGCACTCCAGCTGGACAGTGACATACCCCTCCTCACCTCTCCTGCCTGTCCTTCCTAAAGAGCCTGTAACCTTAAAACAGTGTTATGAAGAGGCAGTTATTACAGATAATAATTTTCCTCTGATAAATATTTCTGGTGTAAGGATAGGCTTGAAGCAATAATAGCTAACGCATATGTAGAGTTGCTTAATATTCTTTGACATATTAACATTTATTTACATCTGTTATTGGATTATGGGCTTGTCATTTATTATTTGTACATCTGTATACCACGTGGTTTTTACACACAGTACCTGTGCTTACACATTTAAGCAATTGTTTATTGTATGCTTTATATAATAGGGCCGCAGAGCACAAAACAATTGTTAATCACCAGCTGCAGTGTTGGTCACAGAGTATTTGTCTTGTAAGCAGCTAGGCCTTGGTGGATGCTTGCATTGTTTCTGATTTGTCTCCCCTCATCTGGAGCATTCTGCTCGTTTGTTACTCATCTGCAGGTGATGTCGTAATTCACAACAGCTGTGTCTGTAGCTTCTTCAAAGTTTTCGACCAATTTAGAGGAAAAAAATGGAGATTTAAATTCTGCCTTTTTTCAGTTAGTAAACTACATGGATTTGGGGTTTTGCTCTGGTGGGTTGTTTTTCTCACTTCACATTTAATTGTAATTCAGCACTGTAAAGAAATAAAGAAGTTGCAAAATTTTTCCAGAGCAATTGAGATTTCCTTGCTGCAGCTTCGTTCCTTGTGATTGTGGAGACATTGATACGTTGGCACTGCTTTTTCCTGTAGTGACATCTCAGCAAGCTCAAAGATGAAATGTAAATTCCCAGTGTCCCATGGGTATGTACATCAAAGTCAATTTTGAGTTTCTTTCCTTGCAATCCTTGCTGCAGATTTACTCAGAGGCAATATCCAACAGAAAGAG